ACCCCTAGAAGTCATCTGATCACCACACTCTTTTTTACTCTAAGGGGTTCTGAGACCCTTATTGTCCTGAAGTCTGGTCTCTGGGATCTTGGTGGGATCTCCAAAACTATTGTGAGAGGAGGCTTCTCAAAATGGGTTTAAGCTAATAGCAAGTCTTATATACTGCTGTCAACTACACTGGGTGTTCAGGATCCCAGTGTAGCCCTGAGCCTTTCTCAGGGTGAGCTTTTAAGCACAAAAACTATGTCTTGGGTTAACATACTTCAATTAACAAGAACAATTAGCCAGAAGCTGAACTAAAGAAGCCAAAAAGAAAGGATAATTACATTTAGAGACTTTCCCATAAGAAAGGACTTTGATTTGTATTCGTTTTTGGCAGATACTGCCTATGCACTGAGTTTTATAGATTGAATGTCACTTCCATCATGGACTTAGTTGTGAGTTGTGCTAAGGTCTGGGGCTTTGTTACACATTGTTCATTTTTTTTTTTTTCTTTTTGAGTCAGGGTTTCACATAACCAATGCTAACCTTGAATTCTGGATTTGCCTTCATCTCCTAAGTCCTTGAAAGATGGGTATGTGCACCATGTCCAGGTTGAATATTTTGAGCATAATAGTACATCCCAGATATTTCATAATATAAAAATGATTCTAAGCTGGGAGAGTCCAGAGTGAACAAGACCAGCAGACTGAATGGGGCCATTTGAGGAGAGGAAGAAGGAGAGGGTTAAGCCAGAAGCCAAGAGGCCAGGAGAGTGGAACCAAGAGTGGGCAGCCAAGAGGCAAAGAGATAAAAACAACTGTCATCAAAATGGCTAGGTTATACAGGGAAGACCAGCCAGAAGAAAGGCAGTGAAGCTCAGGGGCTGGAGAGGTTGAGGAAGGGGGCCGGGTGAGAAGTGCTGAGGAGCCAGGACTCTGATAGAGGCAGGGAGTAAGAGAGAGGCCAGAGTCCCTCTGATATATTAAATAAGCACCTCAGTTAGCCATTTGTCCTTGGATTTCTCATGGAAACTTTCTACACAAATAAACGCTAATGTCTATATGAAGTGTAGCTAGGGAAATAATAAGGTTTACAAAGTTTATAAACTTCTAAGTTTGAGGCCAGCATCAGTAATATGGGACTTTGTGTAAAAATAAAAAAAATATATAGCTGGTTGCAATGGCACAAGCCTTTAATTCTAGCACTTGGGAGGCAGAGGCAGACAAATCTCTAGTTCTAGACCAACCTAATTTATATATTTTATCTATAATATATATAATATCTCTATAAATCTTTCTATAATCTATAAATCCAGGCTAGCCAAGGTCACATGGTAACCCTTAGAAAAACAAAATATTAAAGAAGCATTCTGGAAAGAAAGATAAATGTTTAACAACACTGGAATAGAAAGGTTTTCAAGATATAAACAAAAAGTGTTGCCTGGCTTGGTTGTGCACACCTGCTGTCTTAGCACATGGGAGATAGAAACAAGAATCAGGAGTGTCAAAGCCAGACATATTTGGCTCAAGGCTTCCCTTAGACTACAATTAAAACAAAGTAAGATCCAGTGTGGTGGCACATTTTTAATCTGGGGATTAAAGTACTGGGGAGGCAGAGGCAGGTTGGTCTCTGAGTTCTTGTGCCACCTGTTAGGCTCAAGAAAACTCTTTAAACCTAATAATGTAGAGCTATGCTGACTCACACCTGTCTCCCAATTACTTTTGTAGAGTGGAGACAGACTGCCAGGAGTTTGCCTTGGTTACAAAGTGAGAGCCTGGCTCACCCCTTTATTCCCAGCACTTGGAAACCAGAGGCAGGCATATCTCTGATCTCGAGGCCAGCCTCATCCACAGAGAGAGTTCCAGGTCAGCCAGGGCTACCCAGAGAAACCCTGTCTTGAAAAACCAAAGGTAGGGGGAGCACCCTACAACCAAGAACCTAAATTATTAAGTTCACTTGTGTGTTGAAGTTACTGTAACTTTGTTTCTTATCTATATAATCTATTTTAATTTTTTTATGATTTATTTCTATTGTATGTGCCTTGGTGTTTTGCCTAGATGCTTATCTGTGTGAAGGTATCTGATCTCCTGGGGCTGGAGTTATAAACAGGTGTGAGCTGCCATATTGGTGCTGGGAATTAAACTTGGGTCCTCTGGAACAGCGGTTATTGCTCTTAACCACTAAGCCATCTCTCCAGCCCCATAACTTCCTGTCTGTATAATCTAAATAGAAACTTTCTGACCTGCTTTGGGGGGTTGGTGGGCAAGGGACTGTCATCCCAGAGCTCTAATAACCTACCTGCAGGTTGTGCAAATCATGCAACTGAAGCACTCCTGTAATCACTCAATTCAGTTTGTCAGCAAAATGAAGCACCCCCCCTTTTTTTTTAATTTTATTTTTGAGAGCAATCTTTATTTTTACAAAAGCCCTCTTCTCACCGGTTATTGTGAGAAATCATCAAGTTTACAAATTTTGTCTTTGAAACTTTGAGAGTCCCACAGGGCAACACATGCCTATAATTAAAATGTTTTTTAGCTTGAGCAGATGAAAGTGAGCTCCAGGCTAGAGTGGAGACCTTCTCCAAGAGAGGAGGAAAAGGTGAGAGAGCTAAGAAAAGGAAAGACAGAGAGGAAGAGAGAGAAAAAATGAAACTTTGAATATAAGATTTCCTAGGGTAGAATTTTATCCACCTAAAAAAGAGCAATATTCATGCTCCTGATGGGGTTATACTGTACTTTCTGTACCTAGTGAAAACCTGCTCAGATCCATGCTTTCTGAGCTGTTTTGTTTTTTTTTCCTCTTTTCTGTAAAAGTTTGACTTCTGTTTTTGGCAAAACACCCGTCTTAAAAAATATTTTATTTAATTTTACTTTATGTGCATTAGTGTGAAGGTGTCAGATCCCTTGGAGTTGGTGTTACAGACCGTTGTGAGCTGCCATGTGGATGTGGATGCTGGGAATTGAACTAGGGTCCATTTTGAAGAGCAAACAGTGCTCTTAATCACTGAGCCATCTTTCCAGGCCCTAAAACATCTGTCTTATGTGTAGTCTATTGCCGAGTTTTCATCTATCCGCCACTTGTATAAAACTTGCACAGTAGCAGGGCAGTGGTGGTGCACCCCTTTAATCCCAGAATCCCAGTAAAAGCCCGTGGATCTCTGAGTTTGAGGCCAGCCTGGTCTATAGGATGAGTTCCAGGCCAGCCAGGACTACACAGAGAAACCCTGTCTTGAAAAACAGAATCAAAATAACAAACAAACACCAAAAGAACTTGCACAGTACATTCAGCCAAACTGATTCTTTTTTTTTTTAAATCAGGGTCTCACTTATGCAACTCTGGATGACCTGGAACTCAGAGATTTCCAGCCTCAACCTGCAGAGTGCTAGGATTAAAGGTGTGTCACCAACGCCCTTTAATTTTTCAATACTTTTCTTAAAAGGTCTGAGAATCTGGATCTAAGCAAACCATCTAAATGATCATTGTCTCATTTCCCATCATTATTAGTTGTGTCTAGCTCACATATTCGTTCAATTAAGCAAGGTGTGGTGGCACAGACCTTTAATTCCCAGCACTAAGGCTAGGCCAGAGGCCTCTTTCAAATATTTTTGAGTTCCAGGTTAGCCAGGGCTACATAGGCAGACTCTATTTCAAAAAGGTATATATATGATTGCAAAAAATTTTAAATAATATAGAAATAGGGAGGTTGAGGCCGAATAGCGCAATTTTGTCACGACCTGGCTTAGAGAACCTGTTGCAAACAGTTTGACTCTGCACTACACGCTACACTTACTTTTCTACCCCTAAACTGACTTTTCCCTTTCTGGAATTCCTTACTTGTAAAATCGCAATGACAGTGTCTCGTGGTCAGGGTAGAGAAAATGAATGCAAGATGCCTAACACTTAGTATATGCCATTAGTAGAAAGCTTTGTTTAAACGTTCAGACTTGAAGGACCCGCGAGGCAGGGACAGGCGGATCTCTGAGTTCGGGGACTGCTTGGTCTACACGGTTGAGTTCCAGGACAGCCAGGGTTACACAGAGAAACCCTGTTTCAGTCGCCCCCCCCCCCAAACAAACAAACAAAAACCCAACAGTCAGGTTTGAGTTGTACTGTCCCCAGTGTTCACTTGTTTTAAAAATTTGTGATAATCAAAAGACTTCTTACAGGCTGTGTTAGGATGCTTTTCCGCCGGAACCTGGGAATATTTACTCACAGTTGCCAGTTAGGTTTAAGTTTTAAAGGTAATCGCTGCAACTTCCGCTTTTACAGAGCTCTCAAAAGGGGAGTTGGAAACTTATCGCGAGAGTCTAACGGGACGCGTTTGTGCCTTGGGTCCTGATCTCGCGTTGTTTCGTGAAGTAATGGGTAGAGCCGAAAAGGAAGCACGAAGTATCGCGGGAGTCTAGTGGAATCTCGCGATGATTTTGGAGCTCGCCCCTCCCCCTCCCCCCGAAGTGCCGTTTCGGTTTAATCTAGTGTGTGACTGAGTCTGTGTGAGGGAGCGAAATGTGTATGTGAGGTACTGGCGTGAGGCGGAGGTTAGAAAAGGGGCTCCCTCTGGAACGAGGGACGAAGTGGGAGGTGAGGCAACCTAGGCCGCGGAGCCCCGGCGACAGGAAGCCGCCCCGAGCCGGGCTACCGGGTAGGGGAAGGGCCCGCGCAGTCCTCCCAGGGCCCCAGAGCCGGAGTCGGCCCCACAGGCTCGGGCGGTCGGCTTCCTACTTCCTTGACCTCCCGGGCTCGCGGGCCTGAAGACTGGTTCGGCTGGGGTGGGCGGCGGTGAGGGACAGACTCGAGCAGCTACCGGTGTGGCGCTACTCCACCGCTGAGGAACTCTCATTCCTTCCCTCGCTTCTTCACCCCCCCACCTCATGTAGGAGGGCGCTTGAGGAGGCGAGAGGGAGGAGGAGCCTGGCCTACGGTCCCTTCCCTCCCCACCCCCTTCTAGGGGCGCTTTGGTGGGCGTGGGGTTGGGGGGGAGGGTGGGGCTCTTTGGAGTGCTGGGGAACTTTTTCCCCTTCTTCAGGCTCGGGGAAAGGGAATGCCCAATTCAGAGAGACATGGGGGCAAGAAGGACGGGAGTGGAGGAGCTTCTGGAACTTCGCAGCCGTCATCGGGAGGTGGCAGCTCCAACAGCAGGGAGCGTCACCGCTTGGTGTCGAAGCACAAGCGGCATAAGTCCAAACACTCCAAAGACATGGGGTTGGTAACCCCCGAAGCAGCATCTTTGGGTACAATAATTAAACCTTTGGTGGAGTATGACGACATCAGCTCTGATTCAGATACCTTCTCAGATGACATGGCCTTCAAATTAGACAGGAGGGAGAATGATGAACGTCGCGGAACGGATCGGAGTGACCGCCTGCACAGACATCGTCACCACCAGCACCGGCGGTCCCGAGACTTGGTAAAAACTAAGCAGACCGAGAAAGAAAAAAACCAGGAAGTCTCCAAATCTGGATCTACGAAGGACCGGATATCAGGAAGTTCAAAACGTTCAGTGGAGGGGAATGATGATTATGGGAAGACACAAATATCCAAAAGCAGCAGCAAGGAATCCAGGTCGTCCAAACTCCACAAGGAGAAGACCCGGAAAGAACGTGAGTTAAAGTCTGGACACAAAGACCGGAGTAAAAGCCATCGGAAAAGGGAAACACCCAAAAGTTACAAAACGGTGGACAGTCCTAAACGGAGATCCAGGAGTCCCCATAGGAAATGGTCTGACAGTTCCAAGCAAGATGACAGCCCTTCGGGAGCTTCTTACGGCCAAGATTATGACCTTAGCCCCCCAAGGTCTCACACTTCTAGCAATTACGACTCGTATAAGAAGAGTCCTGGAAGTACCTCAAGAAGGCAGTCGATCAGCCCACCTTACAAAGAGCCGTCTGCTTACCAGTCCAGCACTAGGTCGCCCAGTCCCTACAGCAGACGGCAGAGGTCTGTGAGTCCCTATAGCCGGAGAAGGTCGTCCAGCTATGAAAGGAGTGGCTCTTACAGCGGGAGATCACCCAGTCCCTATGGTCGAAGGCGATCTAGCAGCCCTTTCTTGAGCAAGAGGTCTCTGAGTCGGAGTCCAATCCCCAGGTGAGCTGTTGTCTGTTTTTCCTAAGGTAGGGTGGGATGGGGGAACTGTCAATTAGTCTTTATAACATTAAAGCTTGTGTTCAAGCTTGCAGTGTTCAACTTTGACTAGGTTGGCTAGTCAATTAGGTAAGTCCGGCTTTCCCCAAACCCAAAATTGAGAAGTAAAGATTTCACGTGCCACCAACTGCTCAAGCAAGGTAGGTAGGTAGGTACTTTTCAATAATGGGGAATCTTCAGTTGTGAGAAATCACCCAGAATTTGTTTAGCTATTTGTTGTTTTGCCCTAAAATTTTGTAAAGTCATAGGTGGCAGTGCTTAAATTTTAGTGGAACTCACAAGAGAATTGAGAAACTACAAATTTTCATTTCTATTGTTTGAGTCTGTTTGCCAAAGTTAGCCTACCGATTTTGCTTACTATGTCCCCAAATTTATTATCACCCTTTTAATTTACGGAAAAGTCCTATCTTGTAACTTTTTAGTGAAATTTAAGCTAGTGAGAGTATTTTCTTTTGACATGCAGCCTAACAACAGTTACAAAGACAGCTTATTGATTTTTTTTAACACCACTGTTGACTTAACCCTGTTAACACTAGCAATTTTCAAAATCTTACTTGAAATATGTGCTAATAATGCTTTCTGCTTAATATTTTTGTTAGAAAGATGTTTTAATTTGAAGTTATATATAGAAAATTGTTCTTGTCTTGTGTGTGGACCTATCTTTGTCCACAAAACCAAAACAGTAGCTTTAGTTTTATCTGAGTGGAATCTTAATATTTCTTTGTGACCTTAGGCAAATGATTTAATTTGTTCACACATGAGTTTCTTCATCTGGAAAATAGGAATAAAAACTACCTACTTCAAGGCTGTGAAGATTAATAAATATGAAGCATGTTACTGTGCCTTGAGCATAATGTGACTCAGTACATTTTACAAGTGAATACCACTGAAAGAAAAATTAATTCATGCATGTTTTATGTCAGCGTATATTTCACTGACTTAAAGTTAGTTACAGCTACAGTGTATTTGCCTAAATACAGTGCTCAAGTTTTCTTATTGTTTTCTCATTAAAGTATTAAAAAAATTCAAACTTAGATTGAATTATAACAAAAATGCATGTATGTACCTAACACCTAAATTCTGTAATATTTGTGACATATTTTGGCTCATGTTTATCTCCATTACTTTTTTTTTTTTAAGCTTCATCTCAGAGTTGTAGCAATAAGCATACTTTTGTAAACATTTAGCATGTATACCATTTCTTAGAATTCAGTATTTTTTGGAGAGGTAAGATTTTTGTATAAGTCATAAAATATATCATTTATAATGTTGCACAGTTTTAAAGTATTCTCAGAAGTTTATTCTATTCTGTTTATTTATTTACTTATTTATTTTTCCAGGCAGGGTTTCTCTGTGTAGCCTTGGCTGTTCTGGACTTGCTTTGTAGACCAGCCTGGCCTCGAATTCACAGAGATCCGAATGCTTCTGCCTCTCTTAGTGCTGGGATCACAGGCTTGCATACACCATTATTTTTTAGTCATGGTTTCACACTGTAACCTAGGGAGGCCTGAAATTTACTATGTAGCCTATGCTAACCTCAAACTGTCCTGAAATCTCCAGCAATCCTCCTTTAACCTCTTGACTGTTGGGGTTATAGACATGCGCTGTCATATTAGGCAAAATATTTGTTTTCTTGAGAGCATCAATGTGAAAGTTACTTGAAAATTTTTACTGTTGAGTTTAAAAATATAAAAACTAAAACAATTTTTGGTGAGAACTTTTGTTTTGAAATTATTTTATTTAGATTCTTAGAGAAAATAGCAGGTATCAAGGTTCTCTTAAATGAATTGAGAAAGTTGTGTTTTTTTTAACAATTTCCTTTTTCAAAGATTTATTATTTATTTATTTATTTATTTATTTAATGTAGATGAGAGCAGTATGTACACCTGTATGCCCGAAGAGGGCATCAGACCCCTGTATAAATGGTTCTGAGCCACCATGTGGTTGCTGGGAATTGAACCTCTGGAAGAGCAGCCAGTGCTCTTAACCTGTGAGCCATCTCTCCAGCTCCAAGTTGTGTTTCTTAATTGAAATTAATCCAGTAATGGCAGATATAAACCGAGGAGGAAGTGGAGACAATATTGGTAGTGGGGATGCAGATATAAAAGCAAATATTATTGGGAATATGAACTTCTTTGTTGGCTTGTAGCATTGTTTGTTTGTATGCATACATTGTATATTTTTATTGGACTTCTTAGCAGTAAGTAATAAATTGTTGAATGTAGAACCTGAGCAGCATGACAAACACATATAAGTCTAGTGTTTGAAAAGCTGTGGCAAGTAGATTTTGATTTTTTTTTTTTTTAAGATTATTTGTTTATTATGTATGCAGTGTTCTGCCTGATGTAGGCCTGCAGGCCAGAATAGGGCACGATCTCATTATAGATGATTGTGAGCCACCATGTGGGTGCTGGGAAGTGAACTCAGGACCTCTGGAAGAGCAGCCAGTGCTCTTAACCTCTGAGCCATCTTTCCAGCCCCCGTCTGTTTTTCTCAAGACAGAATTTCTCTGTGTAGCTATGGCTGTCCTGGAACTTAGTTCAAGGTTTGCCTTGATCACAGAGGTTTAACCTGCCTCTGCCTATCAAGTGTTGGAATTAAAGGTGTTTGCTACCATACCCAAGTCCAGTACCTTTATTTTTTTTTTTTTAGAGACAGGTCTCATTATACAGCCTTGACTGGCCTGAAAATCAATATGTAGACCAGGCTGGATCAAATGCAGAACTGTCTACCTCTTCTTCTCAAGTGCTGCAATTAAAGGCATGGACCATCATGCCTGGCTCTAGTCATAGTTTTTGTGGTTTGAGTTGTTGGTTTTCCTTACACTGATTCTTGAGCAGGGCTATAATAAAAAAGTGATAAGTTAATGAGACTTTAGAATAATCAGTTATATAGATTCCCATATTTTATTTCACAGTCATTCCTCATAAAAAATTTATTTGTGGGACTTAAAAAGTGGCTTAGCAATTAAGAACATTGACTGTAGCCAGGCATAGTTTGAGTCCAGCCTGGTCTACATATCAAATTTCAGGCCAGCTACATAGTAAAATTCTGCTTCAAAAAACAAAACAAGTTTATTTGTACATGCAGTAATTTCTTGTCTTCTGTGTCCTAAAAAGTGGATTGGGAATTATTTTTCTCTTAAACTGAGCAAGACCTTAAAAATTGACACTCAGAAGACTAAGACTAGGCCAGCTTAGTTTATGTAGCAAGACTATGCCTCAGAACACTAAAAAATAAAAATGTGAAGTGTTTCGGCTGGTATTATAGATTAGTAGTAAGGTGTTCCCTTAGCAAATGGAAGGTTCTGACCTCAGTACCTAAAAATAAAAAATATTTCAAGAACTGTTGTAGTTTTAAATTTTTTTATTTTAATATGAAAAGTTTTCTATATGCTTATAAATTCTAAATTTTAAATTTAAAATTTAAAATTTTGTATATGGGAATTTGTTTACTATAGATACAACTTTATTATAAGCTGAGGCTATAAAGTAGTATCCTAGTTAAAAAATTAGAAGTTGAGGTGCAGGGTTGGCTAAGGACTTCTAGAGGAAGATTTCCCAGCCAGTGGCTCATAAACATCTCTAAATCCATTCCCGGGATTACAATGCCCTCTCTTGATCTCTGTGGACACTGGGCACAGAGGTGGTGCACTTATGTAAATACATACATACAAAGCACTCCTGCCCATAAAATAATACATCTTGGGGCTGGAGAGGTGGCTCAGAGGTTAAGAGCAAGTCCTGAGTTTAATTTCCAGCAATCACATGGTGGCTCACAACCATCTATACTGAGATCTGGTGCCCTCTTCTGGCCTGCAAGTGTACATACAGACAGAACACTGTATAAATAATAAATCTTTTTTAAAAATACATCTTAAAGAAAAGACTAAAAAGTAAGAAGGTATTGAAGCATAATACTTCCTGATGTTTTCACGTTATTAAATATTTATAAAACAAAGTTTTTCAAAGTAAGCATTTTGAATATGACTATATTCTGATGTTGGGAAGTATGCCATCTTCCTCCATTTAATTAAGTAGTGAGAAAGCTTGGTGGTGGTGGTGGCGGCACATAAGTTTAATCTCAGCACTTGGGAGGTAGAGGCAGGCACAGCTCTGAGTTAAAGGGAAGCTTGGCCTACTGAGTGAGTTCCAAGATAGACAGGACTTTATAGAAAGACTGTCTGGAAAAACAACAACAAAAACCAACCAAAGAGAGAAAACCTCACTAGGTAGTGGGCGATTTTTGGTAACTTTGTTTATTTTTCTAAGACAGTTTCTTTGTGTAGCCTTGGCAGTTTTAGACTCACTCTGTAGGCCAAGATGGCCTCAAATACACAGAATCTGCCTGACTGTTGCTGGAATTAAACGTGTATGCTACCACTGCCCAGTTTATTTTTGTTTTATTTATTTTTTAATCACAATTCTGCCTCTGCCTCCTTACCACTGTGATTACCAGTTGTTCCGTTATCATGCCAGCTCTGTTGTTTTGCTTATTTTTTTGAGACTGTCTTACTCTATAGCTTAGGCTGGCTTGGAACTTCTTTTGTAGAACAAACAGTTTAGAATTCACAGAGACCCTAAAGGCATAAACCTACTATACCCATATGTGTGTATCATTTTTTTATTATTTTAAATTACGTATGTGTCTGTGTGCATATGTGCACATGAATTCAGGTGCCAAAGAAGACCACAGGCTCTAGATCCCCAGATCTGGAGTTACAGGTCGTTGTGCCCAGTATGGGTGGTGAGACCTAAACTTGGACCTTCTGCTAGAGAGTATACATTCAACACTGAACCACCTCTCTAGCCCCTGATATATATTTTTTAATTTATTGTTTTGTTTTGTTTTTTAGCAAGGTCTGAATATAACCCAAGCTAGCAGAAACTTACTGTGTGGCTCACATTGGCATCTCAGTCTGTGTAATATCTTGCCTTGGTTTCCTAAATGCTAGGCTTTCAAAAAGGAACCACCAAACCCTAGCCAAGTGAATATTTAGTTTTACTTGCTTCAAAAACAAATATTCATGCAGATTTTCAAGGTTTTGTCTTTTTTTTTTTTTTTTAGATGCAGTCTCATAGTCCAAGCTGTTTTTGAGTTTGCCATATAACAGAGCATGACTTTGATTTTTTTAATACTTTGTTTTATGTATATGAGTGTTTGTGTGCATGTATGTATACCATATTCATGCTTGGTGCTTAAGGAGACAAGACGTGGCTGTTGGATGGTTTGAGCCACCAAGTAGGTGATGGGAAGTGCTTTTAACCACAGACCCTTTTCTTTAGCCCTAACTTTGAATCTTTTTTTGAGGGGGGGTAGTTGTTCTGTTTTTTTTTTTTTTTTTTTATTCTTTATGCTTTCTGAGATAAGGTCTCACTATATAGCTCTGGCTTCCTGGAGTTCATTCTGTAGACTAGGCTGGGCCTTGAACTCACGGAGATTCACCTATCCTTGTTTCCTCAGTGCTTAGCCTAAAGGCATGCATCACAATGCCTGACCTGGTTTGTTTGCTTGCCTGCTTGCTTGCTTATTTTTTATCTATCTACCTACCTACCTACCTACCTACCTACCTACCTACCTACCTACCTATCTATCTATCTACTTACCTACTTACCTATTTATCTGTCCATCTAGTATGGGTGGTTTGCCTGTACATTGTGTACTTGCAGTGCCTGGGGAGGCCTGAAGAGGAAGTTGCAACATCTGGAACTAGAGTAACAATTAGCCATGATGTGGGTTTTGGGATTATAACCTCAACCCGCTGGAAAAGTTAGCCACTATTCTTAATCACTGAGCAAGCCCCTCCTGACCTCATTTCCCTCCCTTGCCTTTTTTTTTAAAACAGTAGACCACTTTTTCTTTGAATTTCGAGATTCTTATGCCGCTCCCTTCTTAGTGCTGTGATTAAAGTAGTGTGCCACTATGCCTTGCTTTAATCTACTTTTAGGATTGATAACTCAGAATGGGATTAAATTTACAGTTCTAGACCCAGTTTTGCTGACCTATTGTCTTCGTTATATCTCTGTATATAATGTATTTTAAATTGACTGTTTTCTTCTTTCAGTAGGAAATCCATGAAGTCCAGAAGTAGAAGTCCTGCATATTCAAGACACTCATCTTCTCATAGTAAAAAGAAGCGATCCGGATCACGCAGCCGTCATTCCAGTATCTCACCTGTCAGGCTTCCATTGAATTCCAGCCTGGGAGCTGAACTCAGTAGAAAAAAGAAGGAAAGAGCAGCAGCTGCTGCAGCAGCAAAAATGGATGGAAAAGAATCCAAGGGTTCACCTATAATTTTGCCTAAAAAAGAGAAACTTGAAGTGAAGGAGTCAGGGTTAGAGTCAAAAAAATTACCCAGAGGTGGAAAGTCAGAAAAATCTATCCCAGATACTGAACTGGTAAATATAGCACATTCAAACACAGAGGTAAAAAATTGTTTAGAGGCAGGGAAAGTAAAGTTGGATGAGAACTTGCAGAACCATCCTGTTAAGGATTTGAAAGCACAGGGAACAAAGGACACTAAACCTCTAACATTGAAGGAGGTGATTGTTACTTCAAAGGAGACAGAGACATCAGAAAAAGAGACCCTTCCACCTCTCCCCACAATTACTTCTCCACCCCCTTTACCATCTACTACCCCTCCACCTCAGACACCCCCTTTGCCACCTTTACCTCCACTACCAGCTATTCCACTGCAGCCACCTCTGCCTCCTCCCCAACCACCATTTAGTCAAGTTCCTGTTTCCAGTACTTCAACTTTGCCCTCTTCTCCTCACCCAAGGACATCTACTCTATCCTCTCAGATAAATTCTCAGCCCCCTGTACAGGTTTCTGTGAAGACTCAAGTGTCTGTAACAGCTGCTATTCCACACCTGAAAACTTCAACATTGCCTCCTCTGCCCCTCCCTCCCCTGTTACCTGGAGATGATGACATGGATAGGTAAGTTCTATAATAGGAAGAGAGAAGTCAGTCTTCTTGATGTATAATATATTTTTATTAAGAATGTCTTTTCATTATGTGTTTATGATTAGGAATTGCTTTTTGTTTTTTAGTGGAAAATTCCATTCTTGGATTGCTTGAGAATAGAGAATTAGAACTTTGTGGGGTTTTCTTTTCTTTGATTTTTTTAAATTACATTTGTTTGTTTATTTTTGAGTGTGTATATTATTGTCTTAGTGTAGAGGCCAGAGGAGAATTTGGTAAGAATCAATTTCCTTCTTCCCTGTGGATCCCAAGTATCAGTCATCAGGCGTGGTGGCAAGTGCCTTTACTTGCTGGATTATCTTAGTAGCCATCTTTTGGGGTTAGGGCCAGGGGTAGGGTCTTGTTATACTCAATATATAGTCTCAGCCTTAAACTAGCAACAATCCTGCCTCAGTATCTTGAATGCTGGGATTACAAACATGCACCACTATGCCTGACAGGGAGTAAAATTTAAAGCTTGATAAGTCTTTTAATGTAAATTTAAAGTTTTTTGGGTTGTGTTTTGTTCTTTTTTGTGGGGCGGTTTTGAGACAGGGTTTTATCATGTAGCCCTGGCTATCTTAGAATTTACTCTATAGACCAGGCTGGCCTCAAACTCCGTGCTCTGTCTGCCTCTGCCTCCGAAGTGCTGGGATGAATGGCATGCAGCACCACTGCACAACCTAGGTTTGTTTTTTGTATGTACATGTATGACTATTTTGCCTGCACATGTGTATATGTGTACTACATGTGGTCAGAAGGTGGATCCCATGGGATCCAACCATACAGATGATTCTGAGCTACCATGTGGGTGCTGGGGATTGCACTCAAGTCCTCTAGAATAGTAGCAAGTGCTCTTAATTACTGAGCCATATCTTCAGCCCCATCTTCACTGTATTTGAATGTTTTTTTATTTATGTGTATGTAATGTACGTGTGTATGAATGTATGTGCACCACATGGATGCCAGAGGTTATTGGAGTCTCCTGAAAGTGGAGTTTGTGAGCTGCCATGTGAATGCTAAGAACCAAACCAGGTGCTCTGGAAGAGCAATAAGCATTCTTCAACCTCTGAGCCCAAGTGTACTATTTGTGTGTGTGTGTGTGTGTGTGTGTGTGTGTGTGTGTGTGTGTGTGT